TACTTAAAAATAAAATCTTTTTTTTTTTAAGAGTTTTCCCTCCCTCCCTTCCTTTCTTTCTATCTTTCTCTCTTCCTGTATGTATGCATTTAAATTTTCTTCTGCTCTCTCTAAATCCCACTCCCTTGGGCTCCCACCATTCTACCTAAACTCTTTCCTGTCAAAGTCACGATGCCCTCTACTTTGCTAAATCTGCTCTCAGTTCTCGGGTCTCGTCTTCCTTGACCTCTCAGCAGCATTTGAGACACACCAACAATTCTCCCTGCCTTGAAGTGTTTTCCTGACTTGGCTCTCAGGACGTCTGCCCCTGGCTGCTCCCTCTGAAGCTCCTTTGTTGGTTCCTTTCCCCCTAATGCCAAATGCCCCAAGGTTCAGTCCTCCATCTTCTTCTCTTCTCTCCGTTCACTTCCTTGGAGATCTCACCCAGTCTTATGGCTTTCAAAGCTATTTCTACAATGAGGACTCCTGTATTAGTCTACTTGGGCTGCCAGAACGAGAAACCACAGGCTGAGTGGCTTAACAATAGAAATTTATTTTGTATTTCTCCTGGTTCTGGAAGCTCAAGGTGCCAGTAGAGTTGGTTTCTGGTGAGAACTCTCTTGCTGGCTGGCTGCCTTCTCCTCATGTCCTCACATGGCCTTTCCTCTGTGCACACTCAGAGACAGAGAGAGAGCTAGGGAGAGGGAGAGAGGGAATGAGAAAGAGAGAGAGAGAGAGGGAATGCGCTCTGAGGTTTCTTCCTCTCCTTACAAGGACACCGGTCCTACCGGATTAGGGCCCCACCCTTATGGCCTCATTTAACCTTAACTACCTTCCTAAAGGTTTTATTTACAAATACAGTACATTGGGGGTTAGGGCTTCAACATAGGAATTTTGGGGAGATGTAATTCAGTCCATAACATGACAAAAGTACATCTCCTGCCTAGACTTCTCTCCTGGACTCAGATTCATGCAGGCAACTTCTAACTAGGCATCCCCACTTGGAGGTCTGATGGGTACCTCAAACTGAACAAGCCTCAAATGGAACTGCTAATTCCTTCCTCCTTTCCCCACCTGAAAAAGTTCTCCCATAGCCTTCCTCACCTCAGTTAGTGGCAAATGCCTTCTTTCAATTCCTCTGACCCAAAGCCTTGGAATCACCCTCAATTCCTTTCTATCTCAAAACCCCATCCCCAACCTGTTCTTCTGGGTTTACTTTCAGAATAAGCCCAGAGCCTAACTTTGATTCAAACCATAGCCATCTTTTGTCTGGATTGTGGCCGTGGCCTCTGACCTGATCTCCCTGCTTCAGCCCTCCCTCCCGTTCCATTTATTCTATACCCCGCTGCCCATGAAATCCTGTAGAAATGCAAAGCTGGGCCTGTCCTCTGGTCAAAACCCTTCAACATCCCCCACCTCACTCAGAGCAAAAGCCAGAGTCCTGATCATGATGCACAAGGCTGTGCATGGCCCAGCCCCAGGGGCGTCTCCCTGACACCATCTTCCCTTTGCTTGCTCAGCTCAGCCACCCTATCCATAGGCTATCCCTTCCACCCATCAGACAGCAGTCCTGTCCACAGCCTTTGCCCACCCGGTTGCCTCTGCCCTTACGCCTTCCTGCCCCACCTCTTCCCGCTGTTTGCTCAAGAACCACCTTCCCGGTGAGGCTTCCCTTGACCACCTCTACAAAGCAGTACCACAGCACTCCTCTCTCCCTTCCCTGCCTGATTTTCTCCGCAGAGCTCATCACCATCTGACGTGCCATACATCTCTCCATGGAACATGAGGTCGTGAAAGCGAGGACTTCCTTTTGTTCACAGGTACACCCCAGTCATAACCACTCATGTTGACTGCACCCTAGGGTGTCAGCATATTTTTAAGGGCTTTACTGTATTCAGTCGTTTAATCCTGACAAGAGCCCAGTGAACTGGGTCTATCAGTTAGCTATTACTATAATAATGTTGCATAACAAACCATCCCCGAAGTCTGTGGCTTACAGCAACAAATATTGATTTCTCCCTCTCTCATCTGCAGTCTCTGAGGTTTGGCTGATCTCGGCTGGGCTCTGTGGGGCTTGGCTCCACGTTACATTCTGTTGTGTGTTTCTTCCACTGTTCCACACCAGCCTGTTTGATGCTGGGGCTTTGGATAGAAGCTCTAGGTTCCCTAAACAGCACAGAACATTCTCCTCCTAGCTGTTTAGCTGTCACTCAAAAGGGATAGAGGTCATGAAAACATACAATTTAAAGTTTAAGACAAACTCAACATCAAAACACAAAGTCAGGTGCTAAACTGACTGAGCCACCCAGGCGCCCCTCTTTCTTTCTTTTTAAACAGATGAGGAAACTAGGGCTCAGAGAGATCAAATAAGTTGTCCAAGGTTATAGTACTAGTAAATGACAGAGCTGGAATCCAACCAAGTTAGAGTCAAGTTTACAAATGTCATGGATGCCAGGCCAAGGGATTTGGACTTTGCCTGAAGGCAATGAAATGCCACTGAAAACTCTTGAGCAAGAAAGGAACATAGTGGTTAATAAACTTTCTTTCAGTGGCAGTGTGTGTGTGCAGGACATGTGGGAGAGGGAGGGGCTCCCCGAGGTAGTTACAAAACTTCAGGCCAGAACTGATAAGGGACCCGGCTGGAGCAGTGTTAAGAAAAGGGGTGAGAAACAGTAAACGTAAAAACCAAATAGAAGAAGACAGAGGTGAGAGACAAACTGAAGGACATTTTAAAAACGCTTTTTCTTGGGGCGCCTGGGTGGCTCAGTCATTAAACGTCTGCCTTCAGCTCAGGTCATGACCCCAGGGTCCTGGGATCGAGCCCCACATCAAGCCCCACATCGAGCCTCACATCGAGCCCCACATCGAGCCCCACATCAGGCTCCCTGCTCAGCGGGAAGCCTGCTTCTCCCTCTCCCACTCCCCCTGCTTGTGTTCCCTCTCTCGCTGTCTCTCTCTCTCTCTCTCTCTCTATCAAATGAATGAATAAAATCTTTAAAATAAATAAATAAATAATAAATAAAAACGCTTTTTCTTTATAGAATTTCTGAACCACTCAAGCTAAAGTGCTCCCCCTTTTAGTCTTTTCCATAGCTATTTATCTTTTTCCTTCATAGCACTTACTGCTACCTGAAACTATGTTGTTTATTTATTTGTTTACCCACGTATTATTTGTCTCTCACTTTAGAAAGTGAGTTCCACAAGGAATTGGTGTCGGTCTTGCTCATACCCCAACCCCAGCACTTAGCACTGTGTCCAGCTCATAGCAACTGATTAATAGCTGTGAACTGGATAAATGTGAACAAAGGAGCCATGACAGCTGGCTCAACAAACAAACAAACAAGATCCAAGAGCCAAGCGAAAGGCCAGTCATTTCCTTAAAAAGGTCTTCATGAAAACCTTGGGATCATCTTGTCGAACCTCCTCAGTCCACAGGTGGGGAAACAGGCCCAGAGAAGAGGGTTGACCCACCTTCGAGCACCCAGAAAGCCATTACTGTAGATTCCCAGCCCCTGGGGTCAAATGCTGCAGACCTGTCTGGCAGATAAGCCCAGAAAACTCAAGGCCACCTCCTTGCGGTCATTGCTGTCTGTCTGCAGTTGCGGGGCCACCCCCATCATATAGGGAAGGAAATTGCCCCTTTGGGAGCAGAGATGCCAGTAAGCTGACAAACTGTGAAAGGGGGGCTGGAGAGGGTGGGAAGGCCCATTCCTGGGCCAGGCAGCTATTCTGAGGCAGCTCAGGGATAATAGCTGGTACCAAAATAACCCAACCTCCTCACCCTTGTTCCAGCCCTCACACCTCTGCCCCACTAGAGGTGAGGCTAACACTTGAATTCCTCTCAGTAACACACCAGTTTTTAGCAAGGCCTGCGGAGAGGACAGTGATCATCAGACCCAGCCCTGTCCACTGGGGGCTCACAGTCTGATGGGGGAGGCGGACTAGGGACCAGTCAAGGCTGCTGAATGACGGTGCCTATGTCTGGGAAAGCCCAAAGGAAGGAAGAGCCCCAGAAGAAAGGACCCCCGAATTAATTCAATGGACATACGAAGTTAGCCAGTTCAGGGGGTGACAGTAACAGAAGTAACCGCCAGCGCGAAGGCAGGGAGGCAACACAAATAAGCTCCAGGAATAGTTGGCAGTTTTAGTAGGTCGAAGCATCAGAAATATGAGAGGGGAGGGGCACAATAGGAGGCTAGAAATGGGGGTGAGCGGTCTGTCCAATTTATCTAAGAATTTGGATGTCAAGAGAAGGACTAAGGCTATCTTCGGTGCACAAAGGAGAGCCCTGGAAGATTTTTATCCATAAGGACGCCACCATCAGGTTGGCAAGATATAAAGTGCCCTGTGGCTGCTCTGGGGAGGTTGTCTGGGCCGGGGGAGGGGGAGGAGGGGCAGACCGAAGGAAGAAAACACTTTATTATAGATGGGCAGTTCTAAATAGGACTCCCGTAGGAGACAAGAATTGAGTCTCAGTCTCTACAGGGCTTGGATCATTACTTCCTCGACTCCGGCGCCACACCACTCCGAGGGTTCAACTTTCGTTCGTTTGTTGCGAACTCAAAGTTTGAGCAGAGCAAATGTGCTGCTGGAACCCTAACCCTAGTCGAGGGGTTCGAGCAAGAGACTCCATCTCCCAAAATGCTTCGCTTTACAGCCCTGCGGGTCGCGCATGCTTCAAGAAAGGCCGGCCGGACCGGTCAGCTGGGTGAAGTGCAGGAAACATGGGGACCGCCATCTTAGCTTGGGGCAAACCAATTGTAAACCTATGGGAGGTTCTTCTCTACCTCGTCAGTTCTTAACAGGTACTAAAATAAAATGCCCTTAATAATTGCAAATCTCTTTATTATGCTTTACATTGAGAATTTCTTCCATTTTGCCCCCCAGTTCGCAACTGCACCTGCAGGGATACAATAGCACATCCCAGCATGGCCGCACTCAGCCAGATCCCGCTGGGGGTGGAATCGGAAGCGGTCCCGCCCCGCCTCCTGGTAGGAAGGGGGTTTCCGCTTCCGGCAGTGGCGGCTGCAGCCTCGCTCTGGTCCCTGCGGCTGGCGGCCGAGCCGTGTGTCTCCTCCTCCGCCGCCGCCATATTGTCTGTGTGAGGAGAGGGGAGAGCGGCCACCGCCGCTGCCGCTTCCACCACAGGTACGGTGGGAGCCACCAGGCGAGGTCGTTGGGTGTGGAGGTGGGCCCAGGATGGGACAACGGGGCGCGGTCTCCCCCCGCACTCCCAGAGGAGTCCGGAGCGGCCCGTCGCCTTCCCCTGCCCCCCCCCCCACACACACACCAGCCGAGGCCCCTGCAGCCCATCGGGGAGGCCTGGGGCCACCCTTCAGGACGGGGAGTGAGGCTTCGTGGGCAGAGGCTGATGTGAGGGTGGGAAGTGGCTTTCGGGCGTCCCGCTTATTGCGGGGGAGAGGGCTGGACTGGGGCGGGGACTAAGGGGGCAACTTGGAGGAAGGGGTCGCCGGAGGGGGAAGGGAGCTTGAGGGGTGGGGCCACTAGGGGATGCTGGGGGAGGGTGCCTAGGGGAGTGGTGCCTGCTGGGTAGGGTGGGGTGAACCTTCCCGCGGAGCGGAGCAGCTGGAGTGGGGGCCTTCTAAGGGTCCCTCTGGGCCAGGCGGGCTTCCCACCTGCAGACTGGGGTGCAAGGGAGAGGGAACCCCGGGCGAGGTCGCTGGGGAGAAAGGGGGAGGGGACCACGAAGTGGGGCAGAATGGGTGGAGTTGGAGTTAAGGGTTAGTTGGGAGCCTGGGTGGAAGAGAAGTATGTAGAATGAAAGCTTGGCCAACAGTATACATGTTAAGTTTGTGACCTTTTGAAAGAGTACGAGTTTTATTTTGGTTTTGGTGTTTTTGTTGTTTGTTATTTTGTAGCGCTGGAACATTTCTAGTCTAGGCAGGTGATGGGTGGAGCTTCAGTAGTTTGTTTTTTGGAAAGCCAAGTCAGGGTCGGAAGAAGTTGCTTCTTGACTGTTGCCATGGTGGGAAAGGAAGAGTTCTGAAAAGAAGGTGGTAAATTAATTTGGGAAGATTTGATTACCTTTCAGCTGCTGAGTCCTATTAGAAGGGGGCGTGGGGAGAGGACATGAAAAGAAAACTGGAAAGGGAAGATTTTTCTAGGAGTTGGGAGACTGCATTACATCTAAGGAGTGGCAATACAGGCTAGTGGTAAAGAACCAGAGTGCTTGGGTTCTCAAATATCATGCCATTACTGCTTAGCTGTGTGTCCTAATCTTTGTAAACCTTGGTTTTCCTATCTGTAGAGTGGGGGCAGTATTTCCTAGATTATACAATATGGTGAGCAGTAAATAAGATAATTTGTGTCAAGTGCTTACCGCAGTGCCTGACAGGTAGTAAGCGCTTGATAGATTAAAGGGACTAGCTGGTATATTTGGGCTTCCTGTGTTCTCCGTAGAATTTGTGGTCAAGAATCTAACAGTAGGCAAGACTGGAGAATATTACCTTTGTAGTAATTGTTGCAGTTTCTTGTTTGTTGTAAGTCAATTGACTTAATTGGCTTGGTGGACCTTTGGCTGAAAGGCCAGGACCAATAACTTGATCTTCCTCAAGTCATTTTAAAAACTTCACCTGCTGTTTTATCTGGGCAGGTTTATCCTTGTGTGACTTTGAAATACTTGACTTTCATGTGCCATTGGGGGAGGGTACATGACTTCAAGAAAGAATGAAAAGATTTGAAATTTGTTTAGATTGACTTGTCAACTGCTTACAAAGTTAGGTCACCCTGGGGTGACTTTTGTTTTTAAAAAAAAAAAAAAAAAAACAGACATGCCCAGTTATGTTCTCTTGTATGGAATAAAACAGAGAAGAGAAGCACACATTTAAGGGGAACATTGGGTTACTTCTATGTAATGGGTTTATTGCCTTGCTGTTTGGGGATAAAATAAGTGGCAGCTTCTTTCCCACAGTGTATTTTTAGTTATCTTGTTGCCTAGCCACTGTTACAGGGTGAGTCTTTGATTTTACTATGAACAGACACCTTTACTTCACATACTCCTTTGGAGAAAGGGGAAATTTTCTTTAGGAACTGAGTTTAAAGCCCTACATAGGGTTTGGGTTTGTAGTCGACCGAATGCCACCCCTCCCAAAAAAGATGTCTGTACTTTAATTCCCAGAATCTGTAAATATGTTACATGGTAAAAGGCACTTTACAGATCTTGTTAGGGTTAAGAATCTTAAAATAGGAAGACTATTCTGCATTTGGTGGGTAGGCCCAACCTAATCACACGTGCCCTTGAAAGCAGAGAGCTTTCTCCACTTTGGAGTCAAGAGAAGGGGAGAAGGGTGAAATCAGAGATTCCAGTCATGAGAGGGACTCCATTTGCTGTTGCTAAAGGGGCCACATAGAAAGCATGAGAAGGAATACGGGCAGCCTCTAGTAGCAGAGACCAGTCCCAGCTGACAACCAGCAAGGAAATGGAGACCTCAGTCCTACAACCACAAGAAACTGAGTTTGACCAACAACCTGAATGAGCTTGGAAGTGGATTCTTCCCCCAGAGTTTCCAGCAAGGAATATTCCTTTATTTTGGCCTTGTGAGACCCTAAGCAGAAGACATAGCCACGCCCACCTAACATCATCTGACCCACAGAAACTGAGATAATGAATTTCTGTTGTTTAAAGCACTCCTGTTTGTTGTAATTTGTTACGGCAGCCGTAAAACACTAGTATAGATTTTTGGTACCTGGAGTGGGATACTGTTACCCAAAAAACGTGGAAGTGGATGAAAGCCAGAAAAAAATTGAGGAGTATGATAGAAAAGGCCTGGAACAGTTTGGAGAAATACGGATGTTGACTGCAAGTTAGGGCCAGGTGGCAATGACATAGGCACTGGAAACTGGAGGAAAGAGAATCTTCGTTACATAGTGGCAAATAAGTTTAGAATTGTATCCTGTGGTTATGTGGAAAAGAGAACTGGTAAGTGATGAACCTGGCTATCCAACAGAGGTGATTTCCAAGCAAAGTGTTGAAGGTGCAGTCTGGTGTATTTGTGGATATGAATCTGACTAATGGAGTGAACCCCTGTGAGATTTATGGTAAGTCCATGAGGTCCTTGAGGATTTTATACTATCAGAAACAATGCTAGCTTGGATTGAAAAAGACAGTAGAAAGTTAAAGAGGGCTATTAAAATACCCCCAAATTCTAGGCAGGAAACAGGCTGGTAAAACTCAGGTGTGAGTATGCTGCTTTTCATTAAAAAAAGGTGGGTGACTCAGAGGGTGGAACCAAGAGCACAGAGAGGTGGGCCTGAAAGCTACAGAGGATTTTGCCCTTACTTTGAAATGGAACAGAGTTTGCCCAGATTTTGAAACTGCTTTGGACCAATGGATCTGTTTTCTCTTCCATTTTTTTTGTTGGAACTGGAATGTCTTTAACTGCTGCCCTGTGCCTATCCCACCATTGTGCATTAGGAGCAGATAACTTTTGTTTTCAGGAATTGTGCCCCATGAGTTGTACTTACTGTATTATGCTGAGAGCCTCATCTACACCTGATTTAGAAGATGAGATCTGGGACTTTTTAATTGATGAGCTTTAGGTGAGATTTTTGGACTTGAGTTGATGCTATAATGGAATGAGACCTTAGGATGTGGGATGGATGCATTTTGCATTTGGGAGAGATGTGAATCTCTGGAGGTCAGACGGTGGGCTGTGGTAGATAAAATGATACCCTGCCCCCCCCCATCTCTGGAATCCGAATATTAACACTATGTGGCAAAAGGGACTTTGCAAATGTAATTATGGTTTAAGTATTTTAAGATAGGAAGATTATCCTGGATTTTCTGAATGGGTCCAATCTAACATGAAGGCAGAGAACTTTCTCCAGCTGGAGTCAGAGAGATGGGCAGAACAAGTCAGATTTGAAACATGAGAGGCACTCAACCTGCCATTGCTGGAGGGGGGCTTCATGGAAAGCATGTGGGCAGCCCTGCCTGACAGCCAGCAAGGAAATGGAGGCATCAGTCATACAACCCAAGAAACTAAACTTGGCCAATGATCTAAATGAGCCTGGAAGCAGATTTCTCCCTGGAGTTTCCAACAAGGAAGAGAGCAGGGTGGACACCTTGATTTTTGGTCTTGCAGGACCCTAAGCAGAAGACCCAGCCAAGCCCACCTGAATTCTGGCCTATAGAAACTGTGAGATAATAAGTTTGTGTTGTTTTATATTTGTGGTAGTTTGTTATAGCAACTAATAGAGGGGGTTTGGGTGATTTTATTTACGAAATTTGGGGAGATTATTTTCTAGAGAACAAAAGTAGCAAAGATTATTTTGCAAAGTGATTTGGTCCTAGAAGACTTCACAGAGTAATTGTGTTGAGTGGAACCTATGCCTTTTTTCCTTGGAGTTTAAATATCCTGTTACTGTCAGTTGTGGATATGAATCTGACTAATGGAGTGAACCCCTGTGAAATTTATGGTAAGTCCATGCAATGGACTTAAGTGCAATTTGAATTGGCTAGATGACTAGCTTGGTAAAATGTAGATTCTAGAGTTCTAAGCCATTTTGGTAGGATTTATCCTATAAATTGGTGATTTTCCCATGCCTATAATAAATGTCTTGGATTAATGACATAATTTCTTCATTACTTTTTATTGGTTGAATGAAGCAGTGAGTTTATATGAGAGCCCTTTAAAGACTTATTTCCAACTTTTTAGAGGAGATGGAAATGGGTGCTCTTTTTTTGTGAATTGATAACCACCTGTGTACAGTAGTCTGTTCTTTTTACACCTCCTACCCCAATCCAGAGTTGTAAGGTCTTTTCTCCCTGTCATTATCATTTGAGGTTAAGAGTCAGATTTGGGAATTATAATTGCGGAATGGAGTTCTAGCTTTTAAGAAAGGCTGTTTGTTTTTGTTCTGCAATAGTATCCTATTGATTAGATTAATAAAATGTGGACTCTCAACTTTAGTGAGGACTTCAGAGGTTGGAGGAAAGAAGTCCAATTCTTTTTGAGTTAGTTACCTGAATAGAAAGATGATTATAAAATTAGAACATTTCAGGGTATGAAGGACTTCAAGACTGTATTTTTGACTTTAGGGTTTAGAATAAAGGAAATTGGGCCACACGAAGGTTAAGTGGCTCAACCAAGAATCAGCCCTAGAGCTGGCCTAGAATGCTGGTCCAG